TCTCTGCTTCTGTCTCCTTGAACCCCAGTCGGCCTCAGCAGATGGCCGCTCACACTTAGCCTGGTTCTGCTGGAGGTTTCTTCCTGTTAAAAGGGAGTTTTTCCTCTCCACTGTCGCTACAAGCATGCTTAGTGTGAGGGATTGCCTTGGAATCAATGAATAGACACAATCAACTGGTTTTCCTTAGATAGAAAACTTTGAATCAATCTCACCGTATGATCTTGTGTACTGTAAAGTGCCTTGAGATGACGTGTTGTGAATTGATGCTATAGAAATAAACTGTATTTAATTTGATATTTCTGGAATCATATTCCCTGTTGGAATAGTCCCATGTTTTTAAATCCATGGTCCTTAGTTGGAAAAGCTTTTCTCGTCATTAAACGATAAAAAGCTGATGCAAGTTTGATTTCAAAGTTGATGAGAAGTTCCAAGCAAAGAAAAATGAACACGAATTAAAAGGAATGCATTTTTAATTTTAATTTCTGTGCAAAAGTTTATAGTTTTCATATTTAATTTAACATTTTTTATTTTTTACGGTTTTGCCTCCATCGCAGACTAACAGGCAAATAGTATCACAAAGAGAAACAGGGAAAAAAACAAAACAAAAACAAAATTGATCACAAATAGGTCTAATCTGACAGACGAGAGGAGCACTGTAAAGAGTATAGCACAGATCTTATCTGGGCTGTACTGTAGAAGAGGATATTTTAGATTTAGAAAAAGCCATAATAATCATAATTGTAGTAATAACAAATAAACATGGTTATAGTAATGTATGAGTCCTAAGCAAGACAATTTTAATTTTTAACAATTATATTTTATTTTTTGCGCTTTTTCCTATTCTATTTTGATATTGTAGTTTTCTGATATTTTTTCCTTTAATTCAAGTTTGTGACTTTTTTTTCAAAGTTGTTTTTCCAGAATAGATTCTCTGTTTTTTTTTTCAGATTTTATTTCTCATGTTTTTTGAAGTAGAGAACAACAGATGTCCAGTTCGGTGTATAGACAACTCCCTGATTCACATATTTTATAAAACACCTGAACTGACTGTTATTTTTCTTTCTTTTTTCTGTCTTAATGTCGGCAGTGGGCTTTATGCTGCCCTGCAAGGCTTTAAACCTGGTTTGAATGGAGACTAAGCCATTCTAAAGCACATATCAAGGAGCTCATTTAGAGCCTGGATCCATATTTATTTTAGATTCTGTTCATGGTCGCACACGACACATGTGCTCCTTAGTTCCCGGTATTGAATCCGACCAATGGTCCTTTGCCGCATGTCTCTCCCCCTCTCTTATACCCCCTTTCCTGTCAGCCTTCTGTTGAAAAAAATGAGCCACTAGTTCTGTAAAAACTCAAAAAGTAGCTAGCAGCAACAACCCAGAGTGACAGCAGCTCATTGACTAATTTGTATCATGTGCAGCCTGATCCCGGAAACTCTGGACGGCTTTACCGTACAAACAGGAGAAGCGGCGCAAGTGAAGTTAGGATTAGCCAGCAGGTGGGTCTGGATCCGGACCACGGTCCGCTGATCCGTGACCTCTGATCTAAGAGATTCTGCCTCTGATCAATCCTCACTGATGGCTTCCATGATGGAGTTCTGTCTCACCTGTAAAAAGCTTGAGGTCTGTGGGTTCCACTTCTCTTCTGGTCTACCATGCCAGGTGTTGAGGATGCTTAGACACACCTGCAGAGGAGTTTAGAAGAACAAAACAATGACGGTTAAACTATTCTGCCATTTTGTAGAATCTGTTAGTTCAATCTCTAACTTTCTGCTCTCTCTGTTTTTTCTCATAGTAGCTTCACCTGGTCTGTTCCTGTTTGGCTGTGACTCCATCCTGGAGAGAAATATCAGCTGTGCTGCTGCCATCAACACCTTTGTTTATTGATCGGCCTGTTTTTCAGTGTTTAGTCCTGTTTCTCTCCTATAGCTATGGGCTCAGCTTCTACTGGGACTAACTGGATCTTCTCTCTTTCATCCTCTGACATGAAACTGGCTCAGAGCTAATCTGATTAACTGTTTCTTTCCCAGACAGTGCCTCCCGTGGAGCTAGTTTACGGTTAGCTTCTTTAGCATAGACATTTTAATAGATCAGGGCTTCTATGTTCCTTTTCTACGTCTGTTTCTGTCTCCTTGAGTCCCAGTCAGCTTCAGCAGATGGCCGCTCACACTGAGCATGGTTCTGCTGGAGGTTTCTTCCTGTTCAAAGGGAGTTTTTCCTCTCCACTATCGCTGCATGCATGCATGCATGCTGGGAATGCCGAGTCAATCCTTCAATGCCATTGAATATTCATCCAGGAGGAGTAAATCTTTCAAACTGAATGACTGCAAACATTCACTGAGTTCAGGGCAGGTCTTCCCAAACTAGGGTGTGGGATCCCTAGGGGGTCATGAGACACCAAGTGGGGGTTGTTAAATTGTTTTGACAATCCGTTCTTCAGATGCCTAATACTGTTCTCTTTTTTCCAATGAGCATCTATAATATTTGTGGTTGTTTAAAACAAAAATTAAACAGTTAAAATCTTTCATCTTTCTGATAAAATCAGTTTTGTCAAAACACAGAATGTATCAGTGCAAATGGTTTGATCTGGAGTCCTTGAAGATAACTGTTAAACCCTTTTATTTTACAGGAAAAAGGCAGAAAACCAGTGAATGCTCTCCGCAGTTTAAAGCTCTACTAATTAATGGGAACCATCCATGCCCCTCTCAGCCTAGTCTCTCTAAAGCTCAAATAACATCCAGTGATTGTTTTTTTGTAATAGAGAAACATGCTAATGAGCAGATTGGATCATTTCATTCGATCAGGATTCCTCCTCCACAGTGTGCATGTAAAGCCCAGTAGGAGCCACGCAGTGGGACTCACCTTGCCATCGTTGTAGAGGTTTGGATTGAAACGCACGCTGTGTCCCCCCGTCGTCTCCAGATTGACCAGCGGAGGGGAGTTGGGATAATCCTGGGGAAAATACACGTCGAATTCGAAGCAGCCGTTGGCGTACGGGGTGTCGGACGGGCCTGTGATCAGAACCTGTGAACACACAGCACAGATCAACATTGAACATAATTAGACACGACAACATGGCTCCCAGAGAGTAATCTATGTGATGCGGATCAATGCTGGTGCCTCATTGGCTGAAATGCTTCTATAAAAACACCTCAACTTCTTTAAAAACGAGAAGTGCCCCTAAAACAGGAGTTCCGTCTTAATCGTCAACTTCATCATGAGCAGCGAAATGTCCAGGCTCTACTGAACACATTAAGCCAACAAAGCAATGCTAGCCACTGACGTTAGCCTAGTGCTGCAGCAGACGCTTCATTAATGGCTCCCTATCACTCAGCCAATTTATTTATTTCCAGCCTTTTATTGTCATTACACTCTCACAAGCACACAAAACGAAATTCACTCTCTGTGTTTAACCCATCCTCTTAGAGAGCAGTGGGCTGCCATTTTCGGCGCCCCGGGAACGTTTCTAAATATTATTCTGGCATTAAAAACGTTGGGCACCGTTTGAGCATTCCTCAACATTTTACTCTACTTGGCTTAATTGCTTTCGGGCCGCTGGGCGTACCGTCTGAGGGGTGGGCAGTGCTATCAAACCTTGAACAAAGTTTTCCCTATTGTCTGATGGTTCCCTGATAAGTCTGGGTTTTCCTGGGGGTGGTTGATCATCCTTGGACTCGCTGTCGGAATCTGAGCCGCTTCCTACTGACCAGTCCTCATCATCGGTCTCTCCCTCTTCGCCCGAATCGCCATCATCAATATTCTGAAGCATGTCTAAAGCCTGTTTCGCTGTTAGATTTGTTATGAAAGCCATTTTTCTACATTAGCCAAAGAGTTCCCAAGTTTTCTAAGTAGATTGTTGGTTGCTAGGCAACAGTACCAAACTTTGTGTGGTCACTGCGCGGTATCGGCTGTTGAGCAAGTCCCAGTGCTGTATCTGGTGTTTGTCACAACGCGCAAATCCTCCCTCTTCAAGTTGGTAATCCAATGACGAACCCGTCTGTGGAGGATCAGGAATCGGAAAGGTGAAATAATTGATTTTTTTCCCCACTTTTACTCGATGTATTCC